CTTCAATTGGCACACGCTCCCCAACTATCTGCGTCGACGATGATAAAGGTTTATGTGTTGGCTGTAATGGCGGTGCTATCGTTTTTTGGCAACCTGCTCACCATGTGGAACATCTATAAAACGCGCATTCGACGCAGAAGCTCACGACACACTTGGAGCGCTATTTATTCGCTAATATTCCATTTATCGATTGCCGATTTGTTGGTGACTGGCTTTTGCATTGTTGGCGAAGCCGCCTGGTTTTACACGGTGCAATGGCTGGCCGATGAATTGACATGCAAATTGGTTAAGCTCTTCCAAATGTTCAGCCTGTATTTGTCAACGTATGTGCTGGTCCTGATTGGTGTGGATCGCTGGATAGCCGTTAAATATCCAATGAAATCGTTAAATATGGCTAAAAGATGCTATCGGCTGCTGGGCGGTACATACGTGCTATCATTCCTGCTAAGTCTGCCTCAGGTGAGTGGAACTGTTATTATGATTAATCTATATATAAAAAAATTTTAAAAAAGGGTTTTCTATATTGGCATAGCAATTAAGTAGCCCTTTATTCAGTAAAAAATTTACAAAATTTGATAGTAGAGGTTTAAAGATATAAGCAAACGTATGCGCTAGCGTGACGTAACAAAAAAGAGACGTGGATTTTGACTTCGATTACAAAAGTTTAAAACTCTGCGAATTCGGCAAGGTTATTTGTAGTCAAATGCAGTCCAAATTTGAAACAAATCGGAGCATAAATACGGCTTTTGAAAATATCTCGTTGCTGATGTCACCTGGCGAAACCATTTTTTGCATAAAAATATTTCAGCAAAGATAAGCCGTACATATTTATTATCAAAAGCAGCCAAATTGGTCCATAAATAACTTAGAGGTATATGACATCTATTTTTTTTTCTCGGTAGACCTTTCCCTGGAAATGCCAATATTCAGAAAAGCGTTATTTATTGTCCGATTTCGATGATATTATAAAGGAATGCTGCAGGTGCGATCAGAAATACTTTTACGAAAAATAGATCCGCTAGCTGGAACTGGAGGGGATATATTCAGAAAATGCTGATTTATAGTCCGGTTTAAATGAAACTAAAACTTGTACGGCATATGTATACTATTTTTGCAAAAAAAATAAAAATAAAATGTATACCGCATACATAATGGGAAATAACACTTTCTTTCACTTAAATATAGGGTAATCCATTTAGACCTTAGTCGCTTAATTTTAAATAAAATACTTAAAACAGGCTGGAAGACTGAATCTGTTTTTTTTTCTTTAATTCAAAACTTGGAAGGCAACATTACTCGCGTAATTCGCGCAATGGCTGGAAAAAGCAATTGAAAATTTGACCCTCCGAATGGACCACCTAAAGCATAGTTGCGGCTAACATTTGAAAAATAAAATAAATAAAAAGTAAATGTCAAAGATTATTCTATCAGTTGATAATAAAGATTCCGACATCCAGAGTTCTCTTTTAAGTGTTTTAGTTAAAATTAAAAACAAAAGGTCTAGATGGACCACCCTATACTTAACACAAAAATAACCTCTCGTGAATAAAAAAATATTCGCATTGCAATGTTCATGGTGCATACATAAAATATGTATGTACATACTTTCAATTGTTGTATCTTCAAGTATACATATGTACATCTGTAAATATTTATGCCTCTAAAAGAAGTTAATGGAGCTTTGTGTAATTTGAGTACTGGCTACCAGATCGTAGTGGTTTTGGTTTTTTATGTTTTTGAGATTAATTGGTTTTTTTTTAGTGTGTTTTCTCATTTTGTTATTATTCTGTGCCTCCTTCATCACATCCGGCTGCACTTGCCTCGTCTAAACGTGCGCCAGAACTTTTACAATTTATTCACAGTTGCGGTCATAATATAACGGCGCACGTATTATAAAGTGTAAGCGTCATAAATACTCTGTTTGATAACTTTTACGTGTGTCAATATATGTAAGCTTATTAATATGTATGTATGTATGTATGTACATACATACACATATCCATAAATATACAATAACAACGTGGTGGCGTTTTACTTTGCTTTTAACGGTTAACATTACAAAAGTACAATGAAAGTATGTTGGTTGGTAGGTAGTAGCTACAATTGTATTTGCATGCATACGAGGGAGAATTTTTGTAATCGCAGAGTGGCAACGATTGCAGTAAACAGTGAGAAAATTCTGTTAAGGCAAAATCAGTGTTGCCACTCACAAAAAAACAAGTTTCTTGCCAAACATGGTACCAAAATAAATGAAAACCTAGCCGTAGATTCCTTAAGAAAGTCAGGCTATCAAGGAACGATTGCAGAGTTACCACCGCATTGACCACGGGCTATATGCTAATGGTCGCATATGCACAAAAAATGAGTTTCACTAACATGGACAGGTGCAGACAGTGTCGCGAGCGGCAGAC